CCCTGTGCCCCCGATTTGCAGCACCTGCCTCCCCGCCCCAGGGCCTCCAGCCCTTCGCCGCTCTCTGCAGTATTATCCTGAGAGCCTCTTGATTTCAAAACAAATCAATTTGCGTTGTTAAAAAATTATCTCTGCCCAGCTGGTCCCAGAGCACAGACTTTAAAACCGGCTCGATTCTGGGAGCTGCCTAATGGCATTTTCATAACCTAAGCCCTGCCAGGGTGGTTTCGACATTTCATGGCACCAACCGAAATGCTCAGGTAATGTCGATGTATGGACCAGTGGGTGATTTAGTTAGCATGTGTTTTCACGTAGGCTGGTGTATGCAAGGGGCTAGTTTCCAGCAGGGGAACCTTGTCTTTGCCCGCCAAACGGCAGGTCTCGAGTCAGAATCTTCCTTCCCATTTTGGGCACGAGGCCCACTATGGCAAGAGTTCATCCCCCGGTGACTTTCTCCCAAAAAGCTGGCACCCTCTTGATCTTAGATGTGAACCTGAAGACTCGGGCTGTAGGCGCAAGGGCCTCTGAACCCATGCCGCCCTCCCCACTCCCAGCTCTGGCTCTGTGACTTTGTCAAGTCATTTCCTGATCTGGAGAACGGGTATACCACACGTCAACTGTTCATCCAACAGCTACTCATTGCACCCATATTCTGGGCCAGGGCCTGAGGACTGGAGACAGACCAGGGCCCCCTGGAGGTGCCCACAGCCCATCAGTGACGGGGAGGGCTGCATGGACATCAGCAGCATACCGCCCGGCTGCTGGCATGGCTGTGAAGCTCGCACCCAGGGCTGCGAGGCCTGCAGCCCCCACACTCCAGGCCTTGGGTGAACTGGGTGATGACCCAGTGTCCCCCAGTCTGTCTTTTCGATGCCCTACTTATGAGGAGGCTACAAAGACAGAATACTTAGTGAGAGCAGTTTGGAAATAAGTGCTATTTTGCATGCAAGACAGAGGCTCATCACTAAACGCAGAGGCGTGTCCGGGCGTGCAGGGAGGATGTGTGCCAGCAGGACTCGGCGCCAGCCCCAGGGCGGCCCCCGGTGGCAGCTTGTGAGCCAGACACGCAGGCCTGAGGGTGTCGCCGAGCAGCCCCGGGGCCACGCTCCGTTCCCACTCACCAGCCAACAGATTTTGTCAACAGCGAAAGGGCGTTGCGTACCGCAGCTGACATGTGTGACTGATGAAAGAACAGCACGTCTTCGAGCGACTCAGCTACCTCTTGGGTTTAATGCTCGCGCTCCTCTATGGGCCGACTTAAAAGGCAGGCTGGAGAGGGAGCATCCAGGCAGGAGGGGAGTGTGTGTGTGTTCTAAACCAGGGCGGCAGACTCCGGTGTGCTCCACCCGGCACCCACTGGTTGCTTAGCAACACGATTCTCTGTGCAGCCAGGAGGATCCAGTGCCTGACACCAGGGTGGTGGACAGGGGCAAAGGCAGCTCCGGAGGAGGGCCGGTCGAGGGCAGGCCTGTCCTGCTGCTCCGACTCCCGGTGGCGCTTTGTGGCAGCCACGTGGAGCAGGGCGCCGGCAGGTCCAAGCACGCAGCCGGGTCTGCCCCCGTGCTGGTTGCTGGGCTGTCGTTTCACGGTGTGGACCGGAAGCAAAGCCCTGGGCCGGGCAGGGCGGCCTCCCCAGCCAGGAACGTGGACTCAGCCTCCCTGAGCCACACAAGGGAAGGGGCCAGGCCCCTGAGCTGGGGGTGAGCGCGACGCAGCCCTCTGCGGGCAGAGGCCGCCATCGGCAGCACTAGCCGGTCCTCCCTCCCCCTTTCCCGGATGCTCCTCCTCTTTGAGAGCTGCAGCGTCCTGAGGCGCAGAGGGCAAGGCTGTGGGCTTCCGATCCTAAGCCGCAAGGGACCCGGCGGACTGCGCAGCTCCCGGCGGTCATGCGGCCGGCCGGAAGGGCCGCCGCGGAGGGTTTGTGGCCAGCGTCTGTGTGCTGCTGCTCTCATGTCACCCACCCATCCACAGAAGCTGCTTTTGTTCCTTTCTTTCTAATTAATTTTCAGTGTTGTCTCAAGCCATTCCATTCTGTCACTTCCATTTGCTCCCATGGCGGGTGTTCACAGAAGAGGGTCGTGCTGAACGGAAGTAAGTGCTGCCTGCCGTCGTGCCGCGTGTCCCCTGTGTGCCCTGTCCCCTCCCGCTGCCCCTGCGGTGTGTGCAGAGCCCCCTCCTGTCTCCTGAGCACACGCAGCGCCGGACAAAACAAGTCCCGATGACCTGGGAGCCGCCGAGCAAGGGTGGCGCTTGTGCCATCCTCGGGGCCAGATACACCCACCGGCAGATCCTGCCCAAGTGTGAGCATGCGCTTCCCGGGGGGCTCACCTGCCCTGCCTCCCGGCCTGGTGAGCCTTAGCCGTGCTGCATGGGTACCCAATCCACCCAGACCAGAGTCTCAGCACGGCCCCCGCGCAAAGCCAGGGTTAGAGAGAGCATGCCCAAGTCAGAGCTCCACCCCAGCCCCCAGCCTTACGTGAGCAAATGTGTTCTTGTGGGACAGTTTCCCACTTTATGAAAAACCTTCCCTCTGCTCCAAAGCCCCTTGGCCTTAGCCAACACCACAGATCACCTCTGAATGCAGTGGCTTTACACAAACTCAGAATCTTATTTCAGTCATCCCAGCTTAACTGTGTATCCAAGTGGAAAAGTAAGCCTCTCCCAAAACGTGCACCCTGTGGCTACGGAGTGGACACAGAGGGACGGGCCGTCCTGAAGGACAGGCCGCAGCACCCCGGTCTCAGCTTGTTCACGTGGGAAGGGGAACGGGTCTCCCAAGCCCCTGCCCCCAAGCCCTGGAGAGGGAATCTGTAGGCTTCTGTGCCGTGCGCACAGCCCCCATCTTGAGACTCAAATCCAGATGCGAGAGCATGCTAGTCCCCTCCTGCATGCAGCCCTGCTGGGCACTGGCTACTGGATCTGGGAACCTGAGCCCGGCAGGAGTGGGAGAGTCCTGCGTCTCACCTGGGAAGGGCCCCTACCTGCTGGAGTACCCAGCAAGCCAGTGACACCCCCACGGGGCAGTTCTAGACAGGGATGCCTGTGTGTAACATGTTCCACTTGGGGCACCCCGCCCTCAGGAAGCGGCATGTGGATGCTCTGTGGGTGGACAGTGTCCCTGGCCTGGAGTGTGCGTCCAACAGACCCTGGAAGCGCCACTCACCACAGGGCTGAGGCCCAAGTCCCAGGGCTTCGGAGTGCCTGGGTGACCAGTGGGTGGCTCTGCCCAAGTGGAAATGATGTTCAGATCCGCTCCTTCTCCCCACATGAAGTGACTAGCATCCAGGGGGAGGCACCCCGGGGCTTCGGAGTGCCTGGGTGACTAGTGGGTGGCTCTGCCCAAACACCCATGGCAAAGACCAGTCGGACGAGACGGGAGCTCGGTCCACAGCGGCAGGTCCCATCCCAGCTCGCCCCTTTGGGCCCTACGGCCTTTGCATTCCCTGGAAGAAAAGCCAGGGCCTAGGCAGGGCTTCCTGGCTCCGGCGTCTCCCGCAGCAGGCCTGCCAGGCGGTATGGAGGGCCAGGAATGCTCCCTGCCCACCGGTTTCCTGGGTGGCTGGGGGGGTCTGTGGGCTCCTCTTTGGGAAACACGGTTCTAACTGGCCGGCGATTGGGCTGCAGAGACAGCCCCAACCAGCTAGCAAGCTAGCCAACCACGTCAGCCCTCCAGGGAGTCTCCCGCACCGGCCTGGCTGCTCTCTGCGGTTCTCCACAGCCGTCCAGCATCAGTCGTGGCCACAGGCCACACCCAGGTGCCCGGCACTCTCCAGAGCCCTCCACTCAGGCCGCCCTGCCACTTAGGAGGGAGAGGCGCCTGTTTTATACACGAAAACTCACCTGGCAGAGCCAGGTTTCCAGCAGGCATCCCTCAGGTCCAGGTCCTGAGGCAGGAGCTGTGTCAGGAAGGACCTTTCCAGAGGGGTGGGTCCATCTACATCCACAAGAATGAGCCCAAAAGGCAAGAGACACACAGCGACTTCTGCACCTCCCAGCAGCCACTGCTGGAGTTGTGGGGTGGACATGCCTTCCGTCTGGGGCCAGCAGAGCACGCACTCAGCCGAGGGGCAGTTGTCCTTCTCTGGGTGTGAGGAGACCCCTGCCACGGACCTGGGCCAAACCCAGTGAGGGAGTGGCTATGAGACCCCCATCTCCACTCCCATGGGAGTCATCCAGCCACCTCGCTGAGGCCCCCACAGGCTGCCCAAGAAGAGCTGGGCCGTCCCCCTCAAGCTCCGAGGGCTTCCCCTGGCCAGCCAGAGATGGAAGGGGTGGAGTGCAAGGACCCCCACGTGGCTCCTTGCCGAGTCCTGCTTTTCGGTAGGACTGTGGACCCCGCTAGTGAGTCTCACACAAAGGGGCGGGCGAAGCCAGTAGCACCCGACTCGCCGCACAACAAAGCCAGCCAGCCAGCCAGTGCTGCCAGTGCCGCCTTGGGAGGAAGCCTTGCTTTGGGTCCCCAGTACCCGCTGAACCCTACAAGGCCCCTTCTCTCTGGACCTGTAGGTGGTCTCCTCAGACCCTGAGTGCCCCGGCCCCATGCGGGTTTCCGCCATCGGGGGATGCTGCCTGGGAAGCGTCCTTCCCCGCACCTGTCCACTCAGGACAGCCAGGCAGCTGACAGGGTCTCAAGGGCACGCGCCATGCCTTGCTGGAGTGGAGGCACAGCGCTTCCTCAGGGGGAGCTGGTGATGTCCCACCAGGGACAGGGCGGCCCCGTCCCCACACCTGCTCAAGGGAGCCCATTCAGCGCCTTGGTGCCCCCAACCCAGCACAGGCAGGCGCCCCGGCGGGTCCAGGTGGGTGGGCTGGCTTGGTGTGCTTTGGAGTCTTCTTGAACTCTGCCTTTGCGCCTCCCTCCCCTCCACCATCCTGGCATGGCAAGTCACTTGCTCACTGCCAGTGCACCTGCCACTAGGCACTCGGTGTGGTGTGGGTGTGCCCCTCGCCTCCCATGGGGACCTGCCTGGTGACGGTTTTCTCTGTCGTTGCCGTTTCAGAAGCCCAGAGGTCATGAGCACCGTCTCAGGTACACGGAGCACGACGGTGACCTTCACCGTGCGCCCCGGCACTGCTCAGCCCATCACCCTGCAGAGCCGGCCCCCCGACTACGAAGGCAGGACCTCAGGAACGAGACGTGCCCCCAGCCCTGTGGTCTCGCCGACAGAGATGAGCAAGGAGATCCTGCCCGCCCCTCCGGCCGCATCCGCGGCCTCGCCTTCTCCCACCCTCTCCGACGTCTTTAGCCTTCCGAGCCAGCCCCCTTCCGGGGACCTGTTTGGCTTGAACCCCGCAGGACGCAGCAGGTCGCCATCGCCCTCGATACTGCAGCAGCCAATCTCAAATAAGCCTTTCACAACTAAGCCTGTCCACCTGTGGACTAAACCAGACGTGGCCGATTGGCTGGAGAGTCTAAACTTGGGTGAACACAAAGAGACCTTCATGGACAATGAGATCGACGGCAGCCACCTCCCAAACCTGCAGAAGGAAGACCTGATCGACCTTGGGGTGACACGCGTCGGGCACAGAATGAACATAGAAAGGGCTCTGAAACAGCTGCTGGACAGATAAGGGCGGCCGCCCCGACCGTTAAGACTCCTTCTCCTTATAAGTAGAGATGGGCTCGTAATGAAACACGCGAATGGCCGAGCACGTCTGTGAGCGTCAGCCCCGTCCCATGGGTTTGTCTCCTGGTACCCAGAGAAACGCGGAGCATCCCCACAGTGTGGCCACAGGCCTTGCACCCGGCTCCGGCGTGGGCTTCTGGGGCGGCTTCTGTCCGCGGGGGCCCAGGCAGGAGAGGTTTGCTAGCATGGAGATTCCCAGCATGCCGGCGTCCTCACAGGCCGGGCCCTGTGCTCTCACAGGCGGACGCCCGTGCACTCTCGATACCTCCTGAGCCTCCCTCCTGTCTCCGGCAGCTCTCGCCCCAGGCCCTGCCCCGGGCCTCGCCTCCGTCCTGTGGCCTCCCGGAGGACACTCGATGCTCACTTGCTTTCTCTCTTGTACTTCGCCTGCAGTGAGATGCTCCCTGACACGTCTGTCCGGTGCCCTTCTTGGAAGCTTGAAAGGTAGAGAAACTTTCTTGCTGTGCGAATTCTTCCCCACCTCCTCCTGTGATGTGCATCCATGGTTCTCTGGCCAGGAGGCTCGTGGCAGTGGGGGGAGTTTCACGGGATCGTGCCCAGCTTTGCTTAGCTTTCTTTCTTTATTTCTGCAAATCTATTAGCATAATTCCAAGGTGGCCAAACAGATGTCACACGGAGTTAGCCAAAGCACAAAGTCACGATTCCAAAAAGGAGGGGAGACCTGGCCATGGGAGCCAGCCAGCGTGCAGCTGCCCAGGTCCAAGGTCTCCCCAAGGGCAAGAGCAGCCGTCTGCCAGGAGTGTGTATCCAGGATGGAGAGAAAGTGCTTCTCTGCCTCTCAGAATCCTTTTTCACTGAAGGTGTGTTGAGCTCTGCAAAGATCAGAGCAGGTGAGCATCCACTTTGACATGAAGGACAAGAAGAGACATGGCACGTGGGGGCATGTGCTGCTGCCGGGTGACACGGTGTCACCACTGAGAGCTGGGCAGGTGCAGTGCCCTCCCTCCCGAGCCCGGCCAAGGTGCGCGTCTCTGCTGAGACAGCCCCGCTGCTCTCGGAGGGCAGGGAAGATGGCACCTTCCCCATTCCCTCTGGGTGTCTAGGGATCCCACCAGCTGTCTTACCAGTACGCCAGGTTCTCTGAGGACCCCGCGGGTCTGGAGTGCACACAGAACCCAGGGTTGAGGCCAGAAGGTGGGCTACGGATGGGATGAAAGCAGACAAAGAAGAAAGGTGAGCAGGAGGCGGGACCGCCTGCCTGGCCTCTCTGGCAAGGCTCCGAGAGCCCTGCCTCCTTCTCCCCCAGACTCCCCGCTCCCCCGGCAGCACCTCCGATCTCAAGGGAGGGCGCCAATTGCACGTGGGCCGCAAAACACCCAGTCAGGCTTCCAGCACTTTCTCCTGCATTTGGAGGATACTCGAATGTCAGGTTTTGGGTTTTATTATGATTTCAGAACTAGCTCAGCCCATCTCTAATTATAAACCATGTTTTTTTTTTTTCTTTTTTTCCTTTTTGCTCACGACCAAGCTTCTGATCAGGTCTGGAACAGCTCTAGAATGAACACGTAAAACTTAGCAATTTAAAATCTCTTTCTTTACTGCAAGTTTAAATAGTTGTACAGATAGTTTATAAGCACAATATTTTAAGAAAAAAAAAGTGGCTGGTCTACTAGGCAGCCTTTGTGCCACTTCAGTGCTAGAAAGTTAAAGAAAAAAAAACTTTTGTGATTTAATAATACTATTTCTGTGGAATAGTTCTAAAAGGATGACCTTTTTAAATCAAACTTATTTGGATGCATCTGAACCAGCAGAGCTGTGTTCTGTTTTCTATCTTTGCTAGAACTTCATCACTGAAGGACAGTTTCTTCAAGTGGTTACAATTGACAATGCAGCAGTTTCTCCAAAAACAAACCCAGACACACACACACACACACACACACACACACACACACACACATTTTCCAGCACACGCCCCTGATTTGGAGACCAAAACCTTTTGCAGGTCAATCTTTATCCAGCTGGAAATCAACTGAAAATTAAGGCGCTTTGCTTTCCATTGTCCCATCGTGTGACGAGTGGCCATTACTCTAGAGAAGTTTCCAACCAAGACCCCGCAGGTGGCCTGCCCAGGCTGCCGTGTTTAGGAAACATGACGGTGGCTCGGCCATTCCTCTGTCTTCCATCTGGGGACAGTAAGCATGCGGTGGGGCCGCCACTGCGCCATGGCTCACTCTCTTTCCCTTGCCTGCAGTTGTGATCACCTCTCTGCTCAGTGCCAGGCAGAACGCTAGGTCAAAAGACACGAAGGAAACCGCCGGCCGGCTGTGACCAGCCACAGCTGGGGGGCCTCGGTCTCCTGACTCTGGCAGCCAGTCGGTGAGAGCGCTGTTCCTCCCTTCCTTAAAAAGATGTCCAGCCACACGCCACTAGCCAGAAGTAAGCTGACTGCGAGAGGCTAAGTTGATGACATAGCTTATTTTTACATTGTCTTGTGGTAGAAAAGGGACAGAGCTGTCAGAACCTGCACTGACCCACAGGTGAGCACACACTGCCGAGATGAGTGGGCCTCTTGCTCCAGAGAATATTCTGCTACAGAAAGCAATAGTCCCCGCCCACTCGCCACCCAGTGTCCCCGCCTCTGGGACATTTCAGGACCAGGCCCTATTCCATGCCCCTCTCTCATGGTGGAACAAATGATAAACTGCTCATACAAAGATCATGTTAATATCATTCCAGGTTTTGAGATCAACTTTTGTTACATACTGTAATTTAAATAAACTTCATTTACATGCCCAGTTTCTGTAATATTGTGTATACAAAACCAAAATCTCTCAAAATGTAAATGATGTATACCTGCCAAGGCACCTTCTTCAGGGTGTCTGTACACATTTTAAGTTAATTAATACAATATAAAAATGACTCAATGTGACTGTTGATTTGCTGAACTTTACATATCACAAAGTGAATTATTTGTGATACTTTAGTTAATAAAATGGTGATTTTTTTTTTCTCGGTTACTGAACAAGCAAGCATTACCCAGTTGATCTGGCAATGACTTTCTGTATGTGGGCCACAAATATTGGTTTTCCCATTAACGATTTTTTTGTTTTCTTAAATGCTAATTCTGTTTCACACTATAGTTTGTGTAACAACACGTGTTCGCATTATCTATGTTGCTGTTACTTTTGTGCTTTTATTCTTTTTAGACTTTATTAAAAAAAAGAAAAAGAAAAAGAAAAACAGCTCCTGTAATTTGCACTTCCTCCCAATCCTCAAAATCTTGTATGGCAACCAAAATTACTGTAAAAAAAATAAATATACGATTGCACTAAGGTTGTGGTTCTGATTGCAAACAGTGAAAACTGTCTGAATTAAACAAAGCTGCCAAACTCTCAACCTAGCGTAGGTTATCTGAAGCACCATAGCCAGCCTTACCCTCTGAGAGGACCGGGCACTGTCTCTCGTCAGAGAGCACCAAGCTCCTTTCAGCGAGCTGAGCTTCCCTGGCTCCCTTTCTTCCAAGCAGCCTCCACGCATCTACCGGGGGAAACACGGATGGAGTCTCAGAACTGTGTAAACTGGCAAAACCGGCGTCTGTGGCCGCTCTAGAAGCACGGAGCTGAGGCGTGGCTTTTCTTCTTGTTCTGGGTGGAGACAGGGCAGCCAGATCCAGAACCCCTCGGGGGACGGTCTCCCCCATGCCCAGCCGGGTGTCTGCTAGCCGAGGGCTACAGGAGCTGCGGCACCAGGGGCCTCTGGTGACACACACCTAACAGTGCCACACGCAGGCAGACACGAAGGCTGGGGGCGAGAGAGGGGTGTCTTTTGGTAAGAACTCAGCCAGAAGGGACATGGGCCATCCTCCGCTTTGGGGCACTCCACTGTAAACGTCACCGCAGAGCCTCTTGTTCAGCCCATCACGAAGCCGTCTTTAGTTCCTGAACTGTCCCTTTATCTGTGGCACACTCCCTGTTTGCGCAGTGGCCGCTGTGCTCCCTGGCTGAGACCAACTGTAACCTTCCACCTTCTGTGGCCTACCCCCCAGTTCACCGTCCGGCAGTTCCACCCGAACGTCACCTCCATCTCGTTCCCATGGTTTCTCCCAGGCTGCTTTCCTAGGGGAAAATGTCAGTCTGGCTGATTGGGAAGAACGGGTTCTGAAGACTTTTACTTGAGTTTTGAGGCATCTGAATTCCAGGGACTGGAATGCGTTTCTGTGTCTGTAGAAATCCATTCACGCAGGCGAGTCGGTGGACGCTCCCCAGGCCTCGGCCCCGGCACGCAGAGGGGCTGCCGCACCCTGGGGGGAGTCAGAGCATTTCCAGGCTTCGGCAGTTTTCATTTCTAATCCATGCTATCTCAGTGACTCTGTTTATCACTCCTGTCACATGTTTCTACATTTCAGTCTTCACTGTTTTCTGTTTAAAATTACAATTGCTGTCCATGGCTTCTACTCTGCAACTCTCTGTTCATAGCCATTCTGAACTTAATATGAGCCTTCAAATAAATACAGGAAAAAAAAGGAAAAATAAGGTGTGTGCCTTGGGTGTTTTGAACCTGATGTGCATAAAAACCATACTGTAGTCAAATGCTGTATATTTAATGAAAGGATAAATATATCTTCGATGTATTAATGTAGCTGATACCATAGTTATAGTGCCTTGTTTTCTGAACTGAGAAGCCCATATCAATGCACAACGTAAAGAAAACCGATTGGAGATTTGAAATGTTGAGGAGACCTAGACATGGTTCTGGGGCCTTTCTCACCACAGGACTGTGGACAGACACGGTCGTTCAAGTTAAAAAATAAAAAGGAAATTGAAATAAGACTGTGTTATCAGTTAATTTTCCATTAAAAGTGCTCTCTGCTGTATCACTTTCAATATTTTCATGTACTTGAAGTACAAGACGTGTCTGAGAACCTACACGGAAAAGAGAAGAGCCAGAGTCCTGGGCTTTCAGACCGGCCTCCCGTGCTGTGCCGCCCCCTGGTGGCACTT